TTGTTATAATCTGGCAAAATAATTTGATAAATTAATAAAATGTTTTATAAAAAAATTGAAATTCTCATTGAATAAAAATCTACCAAGCTAATAATTTCTGAACAACTATGTTCAAAATATTTTGTAAGATCTCTGCTCTCAATGCAGTTGGATTAAAGGTATCATAATTCTAAAAATAATTTTTGCTGCCAATTTGACTATTGCTGAATTGTCACATACCATCCAGATTTGTTGTCTGTCAAACTTCTGTGAGACCAGATGGAAATGTCAGCTTTGGTTTTCTACAAGTGTGAGAGATTTATAGTGGCAGTTGGAACATCTGTGAGCAAATCTGTTATAAGAAAGCATGGTATATGACCTCCTTGCCTGATTATATTCAGGAAAAAGAAGGTTCTATAAAATATTAAAGGATTTTTTTATGATTTTAATCACTTATTACCATAATCATATGTTTTCACTTAAAGTTTCATTAGACTTCAAAGCTTCTCTTTTGGTGTGCAAGCTTTTTGTCAATGAGTGCATATCACTCCTATAAGAAAAATATTTATTTTATTAAATGATATAAAAGTTATGTATATTGATTTAATTTTTATTGATAATATGAAAAAATTCAATTTATGTATAATTAAAGATTAAATAAACCAATAAACTAAATCTTGGTAAATCCAGTTACAAATTTATTGAAATAATAATGTTTTCAATCAGATTTCACTGATCATCTTCAGTTACAAGCTTTTCAAATTCTTAAAATTACAAATTCAAAATAACAAAGTCACAAATACGAAAACTTTTAAGAATTAGTAATTAGGATTTAATAATTAATAAACTTCAAAAATTAAATTTTGTAAAATGAATTAAATTATTATTATTATTTCAATAAATATGTAGTTGGATTTACCAAGGTTTATTTATTGATTTATTTGAGTTTATCCAGTTTTTCTACCTCCTTAATTAAAGATTAAATACAGGTGTATTCCTCCTTATGAACTTTGACCTATGAACAATTTGACTGTTATGTCTAAAATTTAAATTTTTATGAATTCTGAAGTTCTCTTGCCACTCATGGAAAGTCGGTCATTAGCCAATAATAAATAAATAATTTTTAATAGAAATAAATTTACATTAATTACTTATTGCATATGATCATTTTTCATTTTTGTGTGAATTCTGATGTTCCATCACCACTTGTGAGATAGTATTGAAGTCAGTCATGTTGGAGTAATGGCATTTTTCACTTCTTCTTTATCTTAGCCTTTTCCCATGTTTATATGGGATTGGTGTTTCCTTCTCTAATACATTTTTTCCATTTCTCCTGCTTCTTCTCTCTTAAGTCCCTCTGGTTTAAGTCTTCTTCCACCTTACCTTTCCAATGCATCTTTGGTCTTCCTCTTTTTCTCTTTCCTTTTACTACCAGTTTTCCGATCTGCTTTCCAACATAATTGTCACTTCTTCACTCTGTGACCAAACCACCTCAACCTTCATTCTTGCATATTTTTGTTCAAGGAGCCCACCTTAACAGAAACACTAATAAAATCATTCCTTATTCTATCCTTCCTTGGCAACACTCCACACATCCATCTCAACATTCTCATCTTCTGCCATCTCCATCTTTCTTTCTTGGGCCCTTGTTATTGCCCATGTCTCAGCTCCTTGTAACATTGCAGGTCTAACAACTGATTTATACAATTTTCCTTTTAGATTGCAGCTAACTTTCTTGTTGCATAACACTCCGCTCAGCTTCCTCTAGTTCATCCATTCACATTGAATTCTATGCTGCACCTCTGAGTTCAATCCTCCTCCCATCTTGACGAATGTCCCAAGATATTTAAAACTCTGAACAAAAGGGAGCAGCACATTTTGGATTTTAATATTACTCGTCTTTACCATTTAGAGTCATATAAGTTATTTTAGTTCTGCTAATCTTCATGCCCCTTTCCTCCAATCTTTCAGTTTCTTCTCAGCCTTGGTTTAGGAAAGTTCACACAGCACAATATCATCTGCAAACAGCATACTCCACGGAGCCTCACACTTCACATCACACACCAACATATCCATTATCAAGTCAAACAAATAAGGGCTAAGGGCTGATCCCTGATGCAAACCAACATTAATGAAGAACCCTTCTGTAGTGTCCACACTACTCTTAACTTGGGTCTCTGCTCCCTCATACATTTCCTTGATGAGCTTAACACGTTTCCTTAATATTCTTTAACCTCAAACATCTCCATATCTCTTGCTTTGGTACCCTATCATATGCCTTTTCTAGATCTATGAACCTTGTGCAAATCTTCCTGCATTTTCCTTTGTCTTTCCATCAGCTGTTTTAGAGAAAAGATAGCATCAGTTGTACTCCTTCCCGGCAAAAAGCCAAACTGTTCATCTGCAATCTCAGATTCCTGCTTAATCCTTTCTACAATTTTCTCCCAAATCATCATAGTATGGGACAATATCTTTATACCTCTGTAATTTCTGCAATTCTGTACATCCACTTTACCTTTAAAGATTGGCACAAGAATGCTCTTCTGGGATCTTCTCCTGCTGCCAGAGTTTCTTCATAAGGTCCCAGAGGATATCAATTCCCTCTTTACCCAAACCTCTTCAAGCCTCAACTGGAATTTGATCAGTGCCTACTGCTTTCCCCATCTTCATTTTCCTAAGCACACTTTCCACTTCTCTGCTAATATCTTGCACCACTCCATTTGCCTCTTCATTCTTGTTTAAGTTCTGAGGTTTTCTTCATTCAATAAATATACTTTCCATCTTTTCTTAACCCTTTAGTAATCTTGTAATACCACTCCTTTATCATCTTTAATCAGTTTAATACAGGTAAAATCTTTTGATGCCTTATCTCTTGCTTTTGCAATTCTTATCAAATGCCTTTCACCACCTTTTCTTTCAAAAACTTTATAAGCCTCTTTTAAAGCCTTTGCTTTTGCAATAGCCACTGCCTTTTTAGTCATTTTATTTGCCAAATGGTAAGTTTCTTTATCTTCAGGCCTTCCCATCAATTCCCACCTTTTCTTTGCCTCTTTATTTTGTTTAACTGCAGATTGTACCTCAGCATTCCACCACCAAAGTTCCTTTTCTTCTGGTGATCTCTTCCCTGAAGTTTTTCCTGAAACCTCTTCTGCAACTTTCAAAATGCAATTACTATTCAGTAACTGCCATGTTTGCACATTATCTGGGAACTGGATTTCTTTTAACACTTTCACCTTAAACTCTTTCCTTAATTCCTCCTCTTTCAGTCTCCACCATTTGATCCTTTGTTTAATATGGTTAACACAATTCTTACAATGGCCATAAGAAAATCACAATCTACCAGGAGAACTCTGTTGTGCAGCAACACTTTCTCCATTTAACACCTTACTGTTTCTCACTTCACTCAGATGTCTCCTGCACCACAAGAAAAAAGTCAGTCTGGCTGGATATGGCTGGCTGGATCATGTATGTATCATGTATGTAACCAGTTGATTTGCTTTCTTCTCAAAGTAGGTGCAAGGTCAAAAGCCACAGCATGAATGACTAGTCTTTCTCCCATGCTCCACCTCTCAATAACTCTTCTTTCCACATTCTTCCTCTTCCCAACATGACTATTTAAATTGCCTCCACAGATTAATATCTCGTTCATAGGAACACACATTATAACTTGGTCAAGATCTGTCCAAAAGTTTGTCTTTTCTTCTCCACTACCTGGCTGAGGAAGACACACACACACAATTCCACCAACATCCAATTTAACACTCATAATTCTAATACACCCTCATTTAACCTCACAAACTCTGTCTTTTAGAACTTTATCAATTACAATACCAACTCCATTCTTTCCTCCCTTATTTGCTCCACTCACAAACAGCTTGAACCCTTCTCCAAGTTCTTTAGTTTTATTTCCTTTCCATCTTGTCTCTTGCAGGCACAAAATGTTCACTCTCCTTCTTTGCATAAGATCAACCAATTCTATTCTTCCCATTCATTGTTCCAATGTTTAAAGTACCTATTCTTATACTTGTCTTCTTTCTCTTCTCTTTCTGAACTAACTTCTTTATCCAAACCTATCTTTGGTTTGGTAGCTCCAGCTCATTTCACATAGTTTTCAGATGATATGACTGTGCATTGCTTTGGGGGAGACATCCTAACATAGTTATAACTTATTTGTAGTCTAGCAGACATTCCATATAATTTTGACATAGGTTTTACGGACGGATGCCTTCCTGAAACCAACCCTATTTGTTATAAGGCTAAATATATATATGATTAGTGCTTCAAAAATGCATGCAAAACAATATTAAACCTAGCAGGAGAGATAAATGCAAGAAGTGTGGCTCTATTACTATAGAAACTAAACTTGACATTATAAAACTAAGTCAGATTAAAAAAAACTGCATTTGAAATCCCTACTACTAAGCAGTAGCAAGTGGATGAATGAGAGTAATGTGTTATATTAAGTACATTGAAGGATCAAACACTAACAATAAGTGGTTATTCTGTGTACAAGTGTACTGTACATCCTAAGTTAGTTTTTCACTTTCAACAATACCCTGCAAACCTAACCTGTTCATAAGTAGAGGAGCACTTGTAATATGTAGGGAGTTTTTTAAAAGCAAAGTTTCAATTAAAAAAGGCTTTAAATATTTTTCCCATTGAAATATTCTGAAGTTGCAGATATTGAATGAAGTTCTGATATAAATATGTTTGCAAATATGTATATACCATATTTAAACTGTACACAGTTAATTATATAGCATTATATAAAATCAATTAATGCAGAAGTTAAGTAATGAAATTTGATTATAAAAAGTTCAATAAAAATGTTTGTTCAACTTTTTATAATTAAATATTATCTAGATAAGATTATAATTTCTGTCTTGTGAATTTTGATAATTGATAAAAACAAACCATCTTTAATTTATCTTAACATTATTTATGTTCTTAACATTAAAAATATAAAATTTGAGTATTGTTTGGATCCACTTATAATTTAAGCTTTTTATTTGTGTTTTTAGATGAACCTACTAGGTCCCTAAGTGGCTTGATTTTGAAAAATAATGTTAAAGCTCATTTTCATACTTTTCCTCCTGAAGTGACAGAATTTATTAAATCAGAATGTTTGAACAGTGTAGGAGATCCTTCTCCTCTTATAAGAGCAACTATTGGAATATTAGTAACAACAATTGCATCCAAGGGAGAATTGGCAAATTGGCCAGATTTGCTACCAAGGCTATGCCATTTATTAGATTCAGAAGATTATAATGTTTGTGAAGTATGTTAATAATTTTAAAATTCTTTATGTAAACTTTAATTATGTATTTAATATTTTACAATCTAAAACATGTAATGTAAAATCATTGAATTACCATGTGTGTATAGTGGTCATTTTAATATAGAAATGTTAATTATTGCTAAAATTAATTTTATTCTATTTACTAACATTTAAATAAATAGTTTAAAAACAAAATTAATATTAAGGCATAAAAAACAAATATATTGAAACTAGTATTTTTTATAATAAATAGAAAGATAACTTGAATTATTCCTTCTTATTTTTTATTATTGGTAATATTTATAAAATTATTTCATGTAAGTTTGTGTGTCCATTTATTTAATGCGATTAAACTTAATAAGTTTGTGTATATTTTGAAAATGTATTTCTATAATTTATAGGTATTAAGAAATCTGTTTCTATTTTAAATGTTTAACAATTACAGGTAGCCCTCGGTTTACGCCGCAGTTCTGTTCCTACAAAAGCCGGCGCAAATTGAATCGGCATAAAACGAACCCATATTTACACTGAGGTATAGAGTTAGGTTCCACATAAGTGAAAAATATGCAAATAATTTTGTTTATTAATACAATATAATACAAAGTACAAATAAATTTAATTTTTAAAATGAATTTTGTCATAAAATAAAGTTAAATGTAAAAACATTTAACTTTATTAAAAATTTTAGTTTCGGATTTCTTACATTTTTCGGAAAAAGTATCCATCTTTAATTGTTTACATTTTTGTTTACTTTTATTGAGAATTTTGGAATATGGTCGAATGGATGCGACGATGCTCCTTTTTACATTCGCACTTCGCTGCCAATCATTGTCTAACTCACAAAGTTCAACCGTCAAAGTTTCCATAGTCGAAAGGATACGTTAACCCGACATAGAGCTACGGACGAGCGGAGACACTGATTGGTCGACCACTGGTTGCAGTAGCGCATATGTAACGTCAGTTTGAGTGGGAAAATTAAGGAGAGATAGATATCGTCTGGCCAACGAGAAGTAGATTTGTCACACTAACGATAGTTTTTGATCAGCGGAAGTGCTACTGCTTCGTAAGGTGTTTTCCTGAACGAACTGATACGGGATAAATTCAATGGCGCTGTGGATTCGGACGCCATTTATTGGACTATTAAACAGAAAAAATAAATATATTCAATAAAAATCTTTGTTTTAATGAATGTACAATGTCGCGGCTTGGTAAATACGTCAACACTGAAATGAAAATCAGTCTGGCATAGGAAAAATCGGGGAATTACGCAGCAAAATNTTTTTTTTTTTTTTTTTTTTTTTTTTTTTTTTTTTTTTTTTTTTTTTTTTTTTTTTTTTTTTTTTTTTTTTTTTTTTTTTTTTTTTTTTTTTTTTTTTTTTTTTTTTTTTTTTTTTTTTTTTTTTTTTTTTTTTTTTTTTTTTTTTTTTTTTTTTTTTTTTTTTTTTTTTTTTTTTTTTTTTTTTGTGGTTGATTCTGGTTACAGGGAGCATTTGGTGCACTTCAAAAAATATGTGAAGATTCTGCTGAAGTTCTAGATAGTGATGCTCTTAATAGGCCATTAAATATTTTAATTCCCAAGTTCCTGAATTTTTTTAAGCATGCCAGTCCAAAGATAAGGTCACATGCTATTGCCTGTGTTAATCAGTTCATTATGAGTAGAACACAGGTTTTGATGTTACATATAGATGCATTTTTAGAGGTAAAATTTTATGGATTTTAAATATTTTTAATGTATACAAGCATGCAATAAATTATTTTTTTAAGTTATGAGTTAGATATACTATGATATTATTTATCTGAATAATATTTAATATTTTTAATGTCATTGCTAATTTGATTACTTTTCATAAGTAAATGTGGTTTATTTTAATTATATAGAAAAAAAATTTTATATTATTTATTTAGTCTGCAAAATAAAAAACTAAAATTTTTTACAGAATTTATTTCACTTGGCTTCTGATGAGGATCAAGAAGTAAGGAAAAATGTATGTAGAGCTCTAGTCATGTTGTTGGAAGTTCGTATGGACAGGTTGATACCACATATTCATAGTATTATAGAGGTAAAATTTAAATAATTTTATTTTGAGAACAGGTGTTAAATGTTTGGTGTTTTATTAAATTTGAAATTATTGAAATAGTACATGTTAATGAGAAGCCAAGATCAAGATGAAGGTGTAGCACTTGAAGCTTGTGAATTTTGGTTATCACTAGCAGAAGAACCCATTTGTAAAGATGCACTATCACCTCATCTACATCGCCTCATTCCAAATTTAGTTAGAGGAATGAAATATTCAGAATTAGATATAATTCTCTTGAAGGTAAGGATAAGAAAAAAATAAATTCCTTAATAGTTACTGATTATACATTGTTTAGAAATAAAAATGCAAAATTAATTTTATTATGTTATCTATATCTATACTACTATATAAAGAGACAATGTATTTTTCATTTGTGACCACTAACAGTGAAAACTACTGAACCAATTGTTACCAAATTTTAACTGTAGCATCTTTATGATTTCCAGAATGTTTACAAACCTACAGATTTTTTTATTAATTAAATAAAACTATAATGGATTTTGTCTGTCTATTTGTCTCTCTCTTCACTAGATGGCAACACATGAATTAGTACTTTCTGTCTATAAGAAAAGTCTATTATTGAAATTTACTATTATATTTGAAGAACTGACATTAAATTATAATTAGTTAATTAGCAAAATCTTCGAGGAATTAAAAAAGTGACATCGTCATGCTAGGTGGCAGTATGTGTACTTATGGCAGGTTTTCAAATTAATTTCTGCAGGTAATTGTACAAAATATTCAAAATAGTTATTGGATTTATTTCAAGTGAATATTTTTGAGATTGATTGATAAATAATGCTGAGAGCTGCGAGAATGCAAAAAGGAAGAAAAAGTTTATAATTGCAGACAACGTAAATCTACAGCAGAGCAATCTCAAAGACTGGAAGAGCAATAAATTCGTTTGGCTCAGAATCGAATGTGTATAGCGAGGAATTTTTAGGTTTCACATTAATATAACTTATTCAGAAGTTTTATGATTTTATTTTTTTATATTTTTCAATACTGTACTCTACTGCAATACAACACATTGATCACCCAAAAATAATTAATAAACAATTACAGTAGTTCAAATTTTCCAAGTTTTATATGTATATAAGAGAGGGCGAGGCCGCGATGGGGGTGCTAGTCAGCAATAATTTTTAAAACTGATATTTTAGAATATTTTTGCTTCGATGAATTAATGAGCATATACAAAGGGATTTCAAAAGATATGTCTGAAGCATTTATCATCACTCTTTACATACAAAGTATTAGTGANAAGAAGACAAAACAGTTGGTATATCAATGAACATTCTATATGGCCAGTAAAAAATATTTATGTATGAAATCATTTTGTTATTTTCTTATTAAATATAAAATAATACTAATCCTAATTTTTATTTATATAAATTACAGAATGCGATGCTAATAGATTTTGAAGCATTTCAAGTTATCGACAGTTGGTCATAACGTTTCACAGTCTTATAGAAGCTGTAATAGACATTTATATAGATTCTGTTAAAAAGTATCAATTATCAGCGAAAGATCAATGGCAAGTCGATTTTACTAGCAAAAAAATTCATGAATTAAATTTTATAGACAAAAAACATTGGATATAACTGGCGAGATCAAACACAGTAATTTACAAAAGTTGTTAAATTATTTCACAACATATAATGAATTATTTTTATTTAAAGGTGGATAGATAAGATTAAAAAAATATTTTTAAAAACTGTTACCTACAATTATTTAGACATCAAACATTTTAGATGTCTAAGGTTGGATAATATTAAAAAATTTGTTAATACTACAAATATTTTAAAAAGAATTGTTCTCTTTACGATATTTAATAAATACATTCAACAAAGTTTTATTTACAATTTTAATTTATTCGATAGTAATTTACTCAAAAAATTAATTTTATAATCTGAAATAAATCCATTCAACAAATTTTTACTTGCAATTTTAATTTAATCGACATCTGAAATTAATTTTGTGATCAGTATGGCCCAAACCACTACTACTTATATATCTAAATATTTAAAACACAGCTATGTATTCCCCAGAAACACATGTTTACATTCAGGTATGTAATTAATATGCTCAGCTCTGTATTCGATTTTATTATTTACTTACAATTATTACTTTTCAGTACATAAATATAAATTGTTCTAATTCTAATTTTAGGGTTTCTCAAGCGTTTGAAACCGGAATACTTCAAAAGATGATGGATACAAAGCAAGGAAATAAGAAAGTGAAAAATCAATTTGAATCATTAAATTTATCAAACTTTTCAGGGGCTTTTTTTCTTCTTTTGTCAGGTTATTTGTTAGCATTTATTTTCTTTACATTAGAGGTATTTATAGGCAAGAGGGCTAGAGCTGTCCCGGATCAACATGACAATAATAAATTATCAAAAGTTTGCTGCATTCGTATACATAAATAAATAAGTGTAATGTCACATTATTGCATTAAGTAGAAACAGAAGCAATTTTTAAAATATTTTTTTTCTTTTTATTTCCATTAACATGTCAGTGAAATTGATATAATTCATTTTATCTGTTAAATTAAATTTGTATTAATCTAAAAAATGATAAAAGAAAATTTAATCCACTAAAATACTTTTTATGTGTAAATAGTATGAAATAGTTGTAAACAAATAGTAATTCTTGTCTTAAGAAACAATTCTCCTATCACATCATTTGGACATCCATATCTGTCATTCTCTTATTAAACTGTCATATTAAACCATATAATTTAAACCATATAACTTTGTGTAAAATTATATGCAAAATATGGTGCAAAATTATACTGTTTAATATCATATGTACTCAGTGCTAAAATTAATGTACACGTTAGTAGTGTAGATTTGGTATATACTGGATTACAAATTTCTATGGCAAAATATAATGTATGATACAAAATAGATTACACATAAAACTTTTGCTTTGGAATATCGTTTGATACAATATATTTGATTTACAATTAAGAGTTATTTCTGTGCAATTTTTCTACCACTTGATATATATCAGCAAGAACGTAAAGTAATATATTGTTAATGTTGTTATTCATATAAAAATGACTGAGTCGGCAATATTTTAAAATGTTAGATTACACTTAAAATTTTTGGTTTGATTTTTAAATAACTTTATATTTTGTAGGATGATAATGAATCAGATGAAGGATTGGATGATGATACTTCATTATCTGATTGGAATTTAAGTAAGTTTTTATAAATGTCAGTATATAAATATTTATGAGTTGTTAATTTATATAATATATCTGTAAGGTTTAGGTGATAAATGTCTTGGCTAGTTAGTTGTAAAAACTTCTTTATGAATTTAAATATATGTATACAGATGCATTGNGGAACAAATTATTTGGTTTTACATGTAATCGTATGGGGAAAAATGATTCACTTTACGACATTTTTATGATACAATCTCAGTTTTGGAACAGATTAATTTCATATCCTGAGGTACTGCAGTATTAGATATCATTAAAACGAAATAGTAATTTTTGTTTTTCAATAATTGACAGACTTTAATATTACCTATCCATAATGTGTAGTATTTTAATTATTTAATTTATTCATAGGGACATAATTAGAGAAGCCTTTTCTAGTTTTATGTATGCACTATTATTTATTACGTAGTAAATTTTAATAATTTATAGTTCAACATTACACTACATAAATTCATTTTTATTTAAAGCCATAGAAACTATTGTTTTTCTTATTATAATAAACTATTTCTATTTATTCTGTTTCATTAGCTTTCTATCTGATCTTTACTTTTTGTTTGAATGCATTTATTAATTTTTAGATATTTTCTCCTTAAAAATAAATTTTTTCTTTCATTGATAACTGTGGTTATTACAAATTTTATTGCATTCATAATGGAACTTACTTATTTTATTTTAAACAATTTATTATTATTTTCCTTTATAACATTTACTATTCTCCAACTTTCACTTATTTAATATTTAATTTTATAGGGTGATGTGGAAGAAGATGAAATGATTCCTGATAGGGAAGAGGATATAAAACCAAGATTCCATAAATCTAAAACGCACAGTTTGAAACATATGGATGATAATGCTGAGGTGATATTTCAAGAAGTACTGGATATTCTTTAATTTGTTGAATACAAATATTTATTATTTATTTAATAATATATATTTTATATATATATTATTATTGTTTTTGGTTTGATTTTTAAATAACTTGTATATTTTGTAGGATGATAATGAATCAGATGAAGGATTGGATGATGATACTTCATTATCTGATTGGAATTTAAGTAAGTTTTTATAAATGTCAGTATATAAATATTTATGAGTTGTTAATTTATATAATATATCTGTAAGGTTTAGGTGATAAATGTCTTGGCTAGTTAGTTGTAAAAACTTCTTTATGAATTTAAATATATGTATACAGATGCATTGATATGTGAAGAATAAGCAACAGAGATTTGAAAAAGATGTTGAATTATTTAAATGTAGAAGTAAATAGTATATATAGCCTCAAAAGTTTAGATAATTTTGAGATACAGCTCAATGTTCAAATGACATTATATGTTAATCATTTTAATGTAATGTTCAGATATGTAAATATGGGAATGAGATAACTGATATAATACATACAGTAGAGCGTCGATTATCCGAAAGTCAATCATCTGAAAGAATTCCAGTCGGCAAATTTAAATTTTCGCCAGTGCTGTGGCGCTGCAATCTTTGGCTATGTCTTGGGCTACTCAAATATTTTATGTTTTTGATACTAAATTAACTTTTGAAGTATAATTTTTTATTGTTTTTATATTTTTCAATATATTTATTTTGTTCCTACAAAATAAAAAAATAATTTTTAACGATACAATAGTCTTTGTTGGGCTTAACATCGACGAAAAGACAGAGAAAAATGTCAAGATGGGATAAATTAATATATTTTTTCGTACATAATCGGTTATCCGAAACATTGATCTTCCGAACAACCTCAGTCCCCAATTGATTCGGATAATCGATGCTCTACTGTATTTGCAAGATGCTAAAAAGAAAATAGTTTACAATCTAACTATATAAAGCTGAAAAACTGGATTATTTCTTTCTTTCTGTCACTGTATGCCAAAAAATGGCCACTAGGGGCACCCCTAGCTATTATTTAAATTAATGATAAATTCAGTATATTATTATTTGATGTGGTTTTTTTGCATTTTTGGCTGCATTTTAGTATAGTATGCCATGAGAGATTCAGTATGTTATTATTATTATTTGTAATAGGAATTTATTATTTATATAATGGAATGATACCGCTGCTGCTAGAATGCCCACTAGGGGGGGCGTCCCAGGCTACTAGAATAGAAAAATTAGAAGTACAAAATAATTTAATAATCTTAATCTTTGTTGTTGTTTTTTGCCCGGGCAATGCTAGGCTCATCTGCTAGTTAAGGAATAATAAGGATTTCTCAATTGAAATCAGAAAAAAATTAGCAGTGAGACATAGTTTCTATTATGAAGTGGAGTTTATAAAACTCTGAACAAAAAATGAAATTTTCATATCAATAAAGTATGATAGACTAGAGATGATATACAAATAAGTTAGTGTAGAGTGAAAAATGTCTATATGTAATATTTCTAGAATTCTTAGTGTTAGAACTTCAAAAGATACCATATTATAGATCAAAAACAAATTTGGTGTTCACATTATAAAAGAAAACCACTACTGATGTCTGAATTAGTTATGTGCCAGATCGTTAAAAATGTATATCAGTGGATATGGATCATTAGTGTCTAGATCCGCGGATACGGATATGGATCTCAACTTTCATACTCAGTCGGTGCGGGTGCGTGTGACTTGGACCGATAGTTGACGCTTTGCGTTAGTAACGCGACGTGTTTTGACTTGCACTGCGCGTATTTTTGTTTATAGCAGGGCTGTGGAGTTGGATTCGTGGAGTTTTGGTGTTTTAGCCGGAGTCATCAAAAAATCCGCCAACTCCGACTCCTTTTTACTTACCAACTTGTTATGTATATAAAATGGAAAAGTATTGGAACCGTGTCAAATTTGATCCTCCAAGTTTTTTTTTTTTTTTTCAAATCTACGCATTTGGAGACCTTCCGAACCCCTCAAAAAAGTCAATAAAAGGGGAAAAATTGTGTGTGTGTATGTGTGTTGGCATCTAATTTGTTTAATTTCTTTATTTTCTGTTCTGAGATATTAAACAATATCTCAGAATAGGTAAAGTTTAAGAAACGAAATGTGGCACTGTAGCTTGCATATAAAGGGGCATTAATACTATTAAATTTTGATTCTTAATTAAAGGTCGACAGGGTGAAGACATAAAAGGGGTTGTATCATATCTCTTAATGAATGTTTTACACATTATTAGCATTCAAAATTTAAAAAAATAAAATAAAACTCGTCTCTACTTTCAAAGTAAGCTTTTTTTTTTTTTTTTTTTTTTTTTTTTACTTC